CAGTTGAGGCCAGGAGCTTGAAAACCACCCTGGGCAATGTAGCAAGACCCTATCTCTACAAAACAAAACAAAACAAAACAAAATTCGTTGGGTGTGGTAGCACACACCTGTAGTCCCAGCTACTCAGGAGGCTCACTGCAGCCTCCACCTCTTGGGTTCAAGCAATTCTCCCACCTCAGCCTCCCGAGTAGCTGGGATTACAGGTGTGCACCACCACGCCTGGTTTTTTGTTTTTTTGTTTTGTTTGTTTTTTTTTAGTAGAGATGGAGTTCCACCATGTTGGCTAGGCTGGTCTCGAACTCCAGACCTCAGGCGATCCACTCAGCCACCCAAAGTGCTGGGATTACAGGCGTGGGTCCCCGTCTTTTCTTCTCGTCTATTCCTTCTGGCTCTCCACTAAGGCCAGTGTCAGTGTTCTCCCGCCTCGAGAAATGCCCTTTAAATCTCCCTCATGGATCAACGGACCTCACTGCTCTGTGACTTCTGAAATCTAAAATAAAGAGAAGCCCTTTCATCAGATGTGTGGACCATCCCTCCTCCCTTTGGGGTGGAAAACCCCGGTGGTTCTAGCAATGTCTGTCCTTACGATGCACGTGGCTTACGGATGACACTAAATTAGTGGATCCGTCCTGAATTTTGCCTTGGCAATGAAAATCGTCTTCCCGGAAGAGAGGAGAGGGAAAGGAGGGGTTTTGGAACTCTGGGAACCGTCTTAACAGGGTAGACATTAAAAAACATCCACAGCGGCCTTCGGTCTGTGGCTAGGACTAGGAACAGTGTCCAGCCTCTGACTTCTGTCCATCACAGCAGAACTAGCTCTTTGCCGATCCCCTTCCCCTTACCATAGAGGTGAAGTCGAGGAGCTCGTTGTTCATTGGCCTTGTTCCTATGAGCCCGGCAGAGGTTGGGGGAATGACTGATTCTTCTCAGCACAGCTGCTTCCACCAGCTTCCGACTAAGTCTGGAAAAACAACACAAAGTCATTTTTAATTCACCTTCCTCTTGGAGCCAATGCCTACTTATTCATGACATTCAGATCTTTGCTTCTATTTTCAAGGAGAGGAGAAACATCTTCAGAGGAGGACCGCCATATTGAGGCTGAGCACGGATTCGTCTTTCTCATTGCTTTTTCAAACTTAAATAACCACCTTTAGAAATACCCTCTGCACTACCTGGTTCGATCAGCTGGTCCTTTGTGAAGAACGTAGAGAGAATGCGGCATAACCACCAATAAAGGAGACTTGATTTAACCCCGGGATCTGCCTTCTCTGCTTCCTAAGATGAGAGCGATGGTGAATGTGTGGGGAAGGAATGGCTGTCGAGTCTCACAGTGTGGAGAGGTCAGACTCAGGCCAGAGACCTCTAGGAGTCCTTACAGCCTGCTCTGTCTTCTGGGGGAAATCAGATTTGGGTGCGGTGTTTGTAGGTACTTACTACATTATTAATTAATTAGGAAGTAAACAGAGGGTAGAAAATTCACCGCAAGACTGCCTCAATCATTCCTCCCCCGTGCCCGTGGCAGATATCAAGAACTGATTATAGAATCTGATTCCCTCTCAGCCCAGATGGAAACTCACATTGTTGTTCTCGTACTTTCTTCTTCTTCTTTTCACTCTTCTTCTTCTCCATTTCCTTCTCCCTTCCTCTTCCCTCTCCTCCCTCTCCATCTTCTCCTCCTCCCTCTCCTTCTCCTCCTTCTTATCCTCCTCCCTCTCTTTATCTCTCTTATCCTCCTCCTCCCTCTCCTCCCTCTCCTCCTCCTGCTCCTCCTCCCTCTTCTCCTCCTCCTTCCTCTTCTCTTCCTCCCTCTTCTCCTCCTCCTTCCTCTTCTCTTCCTCCCTCTTCTCCTCCATCTCCTCCTCCCTTTTATTCTCCTTTCTCCTCCTCCTCCTTCTCTTCTCCTCCTCCCTACTCTCCTCCCTCTTCTCCTCCTCCCTCTCTTTCTTCTCCTCCTTCTTCTTTTTCTTCTCCTCCTACCTCTCCTCCTTTCTCCGCCTCCTTCTCCTCCTCCCTCTTTTCCTTCTTCTCCTCCCTCTCCTCCTCCCTCTCCTCCTTCCTCTTCTCCTCCTTGTCCTCCTCCCTCTTCTTCTCTTCCTTCATCTCCTTCTCTCTCCTCACCCCTCTTCTCCCCCTGTCCTCCTCCCTCTTCTTCTTCTCCTTCTCCCTCTCCTCCTCCCTGTCCTCCTCCCTCTTCTCCTCCCTCTCCTCCTCCCTCTTCTCCTCCCTCTCCTCCTCCCTCTTCTCCTCCCTCTCCTCCTCTTCCTTCTTCTTCTCCTCCTTCCTCTTCTCCTCCTCCTTCTCTTCCTCCCTCTCCTCCTCCTCCGCCCACCTCTGTGTCTTCCTTGTGCCGGTATTCTCTTCCCCCTTGTCTTCCTGAAGTCTCCTCCCTTCACTCATTGTCCGTGGAACTGCCCCTGTGATGGAGATGGATGTGAGCTTCCCAGATCCCCCTTCAAGAAAGGACTTGCTGCACAGCTCTGGTGAGTGCTGTCTGCAGGCAGCCTTTGGTGGTCAGCCCAGATCAGAGATGGTCTCAGCTTCAAAGTGGCCTCCATCACCCAAACGATGCCCTTCCCAGGGCAGGCCACAGCCAATAACTGACCAATGCTGAGTTTAAAGGCCTGGTTATTCCTATCCAAGTGAGATAACTCAAAAGAGCTACATCCAGAGCTCCTGTGGGTTCAGCTGAGGTTGTAGAGCCTGCACCATGGTTCAACCTCTTCCTCTGTCTAATCCCAGTTCCTTCCCTTCCTAATTGATCCCAAGGAAACTCTCTGATAAGCCTCCTGCCTGCTGTCTCTGCTCTCAGACAGAGGTGGAGCCCTGGGGAACCCAACCTGAGACAGCTCACCTTTGAGTGATGCCCATTTTCTCCGGGTGTAGTGACTCACACCTGTAACTCCAGCAGTTTAGGAGGCCAAGGCAGGAGGATCGCTTGAGGCCAGGAGTTTGAGACCAGCCTGGGCAACATAGCAACACTCCATCTCTACAAAAAATACAAAAATTAGTTGGTTGTGGTGGCTTCACACCTGTAGTTCCAGCTACTTGGGAGACCAAGGTAGGAGGATTGCCTGAGTCCAGGAGTTCGAGGCTGCAGTGAGCTGTGATTGCACCACTGCACTCCAGCCTGGGTGACAGAGCAAGACCCTGTCTGAAGAAAAAAATAGAGATGTCCTTTTTGACCACTCTAATTAAGCCCCTTCCCCAAATTATCTTTGTATCTAACCATACCAGTTTATCCTCAAAGTATCCATCCCAATCTGAGCTTCTTCTAATGGATTTTTTTTTTTCTCCCTTGGCACTGGAATGTAACCTCCAAGAAAGCAAAAGACCTTGTTGCTAGGCACATTCCAGTACCTAGAATAATCCTGGGCTTATAGCATGAAATTGTGATGTCCAATACAGTAGCCACTAGCCACAAGGATCTAGTTACATTTAACTTAAGTAATTAATAGCGTTCCTTATTAATATGGTTTGGCTGTGTCCCCACCCAAATCTCCTCTTGAATTGTAGCTCCCATAATTCCCATGCTACCTATTGATGTGGTTTGGCTATGTCCCCACTCAAATCTCATCTTGAATTGTAGCTACCATAATTCCCATGTTACCTATTGATGTGGTTTGGCTATGTTCCCACCCAAATCTCATCTTGAATTGTATGTACCATAATTCCCATGTTATCTATTGATGTGGTTTGGTTGTGTCCCCACCCAAATCTCATCTTGAATTGTAGCTCCCATAATTCTCATTTACCTATTGATGTGGTTTGGCTATGTCTGCACTCAAATCTCATCTTGAATTGTAGCTACATAATTCCCATGTTACCTATTGATGTGGTTTGGCTGTGTCCCCACCCAAATCTCATCTTGAATTGTAGCTCCCATAATTTCCACACGTTGTGGGAGAAACCCGGCAGAAGATAATTGAATCATGGGGGTGGTTTCCTTCATACTGTTCTCGTGGTAGTGATTAAGTCTCACAAGATCTGATGGTTTTATAGGGGGAAACCCTTTTCTCTTGGCTCTCATTCTATCTTGCCTGCTGCCATGTAAGACATGCCTTTCACCTTCTGCCATGATTGTGAGGCCTCCCCAGCCACATGGAACTGTGAAGCCATTAAATCTGTTTTTCTTTTTCTTTTTGTTTTTCTTAATTTATTTTGAGATGGAGTCTCGCTCTGTTGCCTAGGCTGGAGTGCAGTGGCGCGATCTTGGCTCACTGAAAGCTCTGCCTCCCAGGCTCACGCCATTCTCCTGCCTCAGCCTCCTGAGAAGCTGGGACTGCAGGCGTCCACCACCACGCCTGGCTAATTCTTTTGTATTTTTAGTAGAGATGGGGTTTCATTGTGTTAGCCAGGATGGTCTTGATCTCCCGACCTCATGATCCACCTGCCTTGGCCTCCCAGAGTGCTGGGATTACAGGCGTAAGTCACCGTGCCCGGCCTATTTTGACTTTTATTTTAACTTTGCATTGCTGGAGTGTCTTGCTTTGGGCTGAGATTAGGAGGAATCTCTCTTTTTTGTTTCATAGCACAGATTGATGTCAGGACATGAGGGATGGAACAGACTTCCCATCTCACAGAGACATCGTCTCTGGGTGGCTCAGGACAGACCAGCGTGAAGGCAGGGGGCTTCCAGGAAAGACTTTGCAACAACCTGGCTGAACTGGGGATTTGGGGGATCCTGTCATCGCTCTCTTTGCATGATGGCATTTTTTCCCGGGGATTAATTCCCCAGGGATCAGCCTGCTCTAAACCTTGATAATCCAGATTTGTGGTTTAATTCAGTCCCCTGAGTATCTTACACAAGGGAAGGGATGTGGGAGGTGGGGAGAGGGAGGGAGGGAGAGAGAGAGAGAGAGAGAGAGAGAGAAAGAGAAAGAGAGAGAGACCAGACAGTGCTTCCAGGAAATCAGGAAAAGGAAGGAGTTGACTTTGAATGCCACTTGCATGAGCCACTTCCAAGCCCAGCCCCAACAACAACTCTGTTTCCAGCTCTGTGATTGATTCGCATCCTTTTTATTTTATTTTGTATTTCTATAGATTTAGGGAGTACAAGTGCGGTTTTGTTACACCGGTATATTGTGTAGCGGTGAAGTCTGGGCTGTTCATGTAACCATCACCTGAATAATGTACAATTTGTCTCTCTCTTACCGGGAGAGAGAAACAGGGGATTTGCAACAGTTGACGCAAGCAGGGAAAGAGTAGAGACTACGTGCTGAACCTTTTGATATCCAAAGGAGAAGAGACTATTTTCACCCAAGGGGAAGCTGGGGAAGAGACTCTGGCAGGTCACAGGGACTTAGGACTACTTGAAGTGAAAAGACGTCATGAATCATTGGAATTTTTGGGGGTGGCAACTGGACCCTCCCACCCTTCCTGCTTCCATCCATAGACTCCTCCTTCTTAATCTAGTGCTGCAGATGCCCCCATCCTGGCAAAACCACCGCTCTCAGTCTCACCTCATGCATAGCTCTGCATGCCGATCCCTCTCTCCCGCCTGCCTTCCCTCTCTGCTTTAAGGGGATCTGGGGCTTTGGGGCTTTGGTTCTCCACAAGCACTTGCTCCATGTTGACCAGGTGGAGAGGGCCAGGGGCTTCCAGGACCTCCTCAGCGAGACATCATCTTCACAAACTCTGCAAAGAAAAAAAAAAAATAAAAACCAGTACGGCATCTCGTTGTAAAAGCCCCCAGTATTATTTTTTTGAGCCTTTCCTATGTGGCAGGCACAGCTGGTGATCCCTGGGAAATTACTTAATCCCTCTATGTTTCCATTTCTCCACCTATGAAATGGGAATCAGATCTCTTTGGCAACTTACTTAACCCTGTACCTCAGTTTCTCATCTATCAAGTCAGCATGTTTAATAGATTTATCTCATGAGGTTGAGATAAAATTGGCTTAGAGGCTGGGCTCGGTGGCTCACACCTATAATCCCAGAACTTTGGGAGGCTGAGATGAGCAGATCGCTTGAGCCCAGGAGTTAGAGACCAGCCTGGGCAACATAGTGAGACCCCCAACTTTACAAAAAAATTAAAAAATTAAAATAGGTAAATAAGATTTGCTCAGAACCGTGCCTGCCATCTTAGCCATCCCATGTAAACTACTGTCATTATTATTATGCTCATACTTCTGAATAATTTCAATATGTTGCAGTTTCTTCATTTCTGTCATGAAAATAATCTTTGCATGTAAATAAAACATTAAGTTTAAAAAATGGGAATCCTAGTATTGCTATTTCCTTATATGGTTTTTAAGACTGTTAATGGCATAAAGCTCATAAAAAAGATGAAGTTTCCCATAAACAGCTATTGTTGGCCGGGCATGGTGGCTCACGCCTGTAATCCCAGCACTTTGGGATGTCAGGGTGGGCGGATCACTTGAGGTCAAGAGTTCGAGACCAGCCTGGCCAACATGGTGAATCCCCATCTCTACTAAAAATACAAAAATTAGCAGGGCATGGTGGCAGGCACCTGTAATCCCGGCTACTCCAGAGGCTTGAGGCAGGAGAATTGTTTGAACCCAGGAGGTGGAGGTTGCAGTGAGCCGAGATTGTGCCACTGTACTCCAGCCTGGGCGACAGAGCGAGACTCTGTCTAAAAATAATAATAATAATAATAATAATAATAATAATAATAATAATACAATGGTACTTTGTGCATGATTTCTTTTAGTTTTCTCCAAAAGGTGTCATCATCCACCCCATTTTACAGATGGGAAAACTGACCCTTAAGAGAAAAAGTGAGTAGCATAAGGCTACATGCTGAGTCAGCGATGATCCTGAATTTGAAGCCCCTGAATCTGACCCCAGAACTCCAGCTGCTAGCCAGTCCAGTCTCTTTCCGATGGGACAAGTTCTTCCTAGGATAAAAGGTGCCCTGCAAACTAAGAAGGAATGGGCAAGGCGGAAGGGAGTCCTGAGCATGGGAAGGAAAGGGCCTTGGCTGGGGTGTTCCTCGGAGCCACCCGAAGTGAGGGACACCCAGCTCTTTGAAATGAATGGCCTGGGAGGAAAGGGACGGAACAAATGCTTCCAAAACCTGCCACCCACTTCCATTCTCCAACTTGGAGAGGAGTGAGGAGTGGCCAACTTGGAAAATCTGACAGTGAGTTGGAAGTGGATTCCTGTAGCGGCTGCCCCCGCTCCCCACCACGCCCAGTCAATGTCACCTTCAAAGTCAACGGTGCCGTCTCCATTAACATCAGCCTCCCGGACAACCTCAGAGATCTCCCGGGGAGTGAGCCTCTCTCCCAGGAGTCTCTGCATGGCCTGCTGCAGCTCCGCCAGGGTGATCTCCCCATCTCCGTTCGTGTCAAACTGAATAGAAGCAGAGGTAGATGACATCAGCAATGACGACGACAGCCACAAGGTGATGGTTTACCCGTCACTTACTGTGTGTGCGTCAGACACTGAGCTAAGAGCTTTGGGAATGTGAGCCACTAAAATGTCAGCTCCAAAGGACAGTTTTGTTTTGTTTTGTTTGTTTTGTTTTGTGTGAGACAGTCTCACTCTGTCACCCAGGCTAGAGTGCAGTGGTACAATCTCAGCTCACTGCAGCTTTCACCTCTTGGTTCAAGCGATTCTCATCCCTCAGAATCCCGAGTAGCTGGGAATACAGGCGTACGCCACCACACCTGGCTAATTTTTGTATTTTTAGTAGAGACAGGGTTTCACCATGTTGGCCAGGATGGTCTTGAACTCCTGACCTCAGTTGATCCACCTGTCTCAGCCTCCCAAAATGCTGGGATTACAGGCATGAACCACTGCGCCCGGCCAAAGCTTTTTTCTTTTTTTTTTTTAATGAGACAGGGTCTCACTATTTTGGCCAGGTTGGTCTTAAAATCTTGGCCTTAAGCAACCCTTCCTTCCACCTCATCCTGCCAAAGTGCTAGGCTTACAGTCGTGAGCCAAGGTGCCCAGCGATACATCTGAAACTTACTTTCAAAGTGATTTTTGAAATATATATTATTATTTACTATAGTTATCCTGCTGTGCAATAGATCTCAAAAGTTATTCCTCCTGTCTAACCGAAACTTTGTATCCTTTGACAAGTAACTGTCCATTCTTTTTCCCTGGCTCCCCAGTCTCTGCTCACCACCTTTCTTTTTATTTGCATGAGTTCAATTTTTTAAGATTCTGCATGTAAAATCATGTGGTATTCGTCCTTTTGTGCCTGGCTTATATTGCTTAGTATAATGCGCTTCACGTTTATTCACGTTGTTGCAAATGATAGAGTTTCCTTCCTTTTAAAAGCTGGATGTGCTGGGCGCGGTGGCTCATGCCTGTAATCCCAGCACTTTAGGAGGCCGAGACGGGTGGATCACCTGAGGTCAGGAGTTCGAGAACAGCCTGACCAACATGGAGAAACCCTGTCTTTACTAAAAACACAAAATTAGCTGGGCATGGTGGCACATGCCTGTAGTCCCAGCTACTCAGGAGGCTGAGGCAGGAGAATCGCTTGAACTCGGGAGTTGGAGGTTGCGGTGAGCCAAGATCCTGCCATTGAACTCTGGCCTGGGCAACAAGAGTGAAATTCCTTCTCAAAAAATAAGTAAATAAATAAAATAAATAAAGAGAAAGAAAAATTTAAATGACCTATGCGACTCACATTGTATTTCTTTTGGACGACGCTGCTGTAGGCTGAGGAAGCTGCAGGTTTACAAGTGCTGTAAGGCAGGAAGGTATACTTGAGGAAGAGGGAGAAGCAGGCAGTGCTTAGGGAGGCATGAGCTGGGGAGAGATGAGCATGAAATAGACAAGGTCTCAGTGTTGCAGAAGGCAGGGCCCAAGTACATAGGGGCTTGTGTGTCATGGGACGTTGTCAGGATTTGGTTCTGAGTAAGACAAGAAGCCACTGGAGAATTTTAAGCAGGGGAGTGACCAGATCTGACATATATTTTAAAAGAACGTGAGCATGAAACCCTTTTGTGTAGAGAACAGACCACACGGTAGGACCACGATGGGAGCCTGGAAACCAATTAGAGGGTCGCCATGATCATCCCAGTAGGAGATGACTGTGGCTTGAGCCAGTTAGCACCAGCAGAGCTCGAGAAGGAGAGCTGGCTCCCCAATGTTTTGGAAATTGAACATACTAGACTTTCTGGCAGGCTGGTTAAGGGTGTGCAGGGTAGAGCTTTGGAGGCAGTTCATTAATTCAACACATATGTATCCATATTGCTAAAAAATAATATGTGTCAATAGTGCCCATGGGGAAGGCACTGCTCTTGGGACTGAGCGTGGAGCAGCGAGCGAGATACTTAGAAATACTTGTCTTCTGTGCCTGGCTTATTTCACACAGCATACTGTCCTCCAGGTTCATCTGTGCTGTTTCGTGGGGCAGGATTTCTCTCTTTTATAAGGCTGAATATTGCGTTTAAATATATACCACACAGAAGGAGAAATACTGCATGATTCCACTTACATATGAGGTACTTAAAATAACCGAACTCATAGAAGAAGAGAGAGTAGAAGGATAGTTGCTGGGGGTTGGGAGGATGGGGAATTGGGGAGATACCCTACCATGGGTATAAAGTTTCAGTTATACAAGATAGGTTCTGGAGATCTGCTGTGTGACATTGTGCCTATAACTAGTAATACTGCATAATGACAGACATTGCTTTTAATGGCAAAACTACAATTACTTTTGCATCAACCTAATAACTATGGGCAAAAGACGTGAACAGCCATCTCTCTAAAGAAGACAAACGGGCAAAAGACGTGAACAGCCATCTCTCTAAAGAAGACAAACGGGCAAAAGACGTGAACAGCTATCTCTCTAAAGAAGACAAACAAATGGTAAACAGGTTCATGAAAAAAATGCTCAGCATCACTAATCATTTGGGAAATTTAAATTAAAACCACAATGAGACATCACCTCACACCTGTTAGGATGGCTATGGTCAAAAAGATGAATAATAACAAGTGTTGGTGAGGATGTGGATAAAAGGGAACCCTGGTACACTGTTGCTGGGTATGGAAATTAGCACAGCTATTACGGAAAGTGGTATGGGGGTTCCTTAGAAAATTAAACCTAGAGCTGCCATATGACCCAGCAATACCGTTTTTGGGTGTGTACCTAAGGGAATTGGAATCAGTATGTCAAAGGGATGTTTGCACTCCCCTGCACATGGCAGCACTATTCACAATAGCCAAGGTATGGAAGCAACCTATGTCCATCAAAACAGAAGAGTGGATAAAGAAAATGTGGCATAACCACACAATGGAATACTATTCAGCTTTTTTTTTTTTTTTTTGGGTGGAGTTTCACTCTTGTTGCCCAGGCTGGAGTGCAAGATAGGTTCCAGAGATCTGCTATGATCTCTATGTGGCTGCATAGAGTGGCATGATCTCGGCTCACTGCAACCTCTGCCTCCCGGGTTCAAGCAATTCTCCTGCCTCAGCCTCTGGAGTACTTGGGACTACAGACGTGCACCATCATACCCCACTAATTTTGTAATTGTAGTAGAGACGGGGTTTCTCCATGTTGGTCAGGCTGGTCTCAAACTCCTGACCTCAGATGATCCACCTGCCTCGGCCTCCCAAAGGGCTGGGATTACAGGTGTGAGCCACCACGCCTGCCCTTAAAATTTTCTAGTAGCCACATTTAAAAAAAGTTAAAAGGAACAAATGAAACTGATTTTAATGGTCTCTTTTATTTAACCTGATATATCGAAAGTGTTATCATTTCATCATGTAATCCACTTAAAAATTATTAAGTAGCTCTGTAGGTAGCATTCTTTTTATGCACACTGGATTTCATAAGGCAGTAAGTTCTAAGTTCTCAGTAGGTGCTTAGCATGCTTCATTAGGATACTTAGCATAGAAGTTTACTTAAGTATACTAGTATATTACACTAATTATATTAATCATACTAAGTCTTAATCCAGTGTTTACTTTACACTTACAGCACTTCTTAATCCAGACAATCTTTTCTTTTTGTTTTGAGATGGAGTTTCACCCTTATCACCCAGGCTGGAGTGCAATGGTGTGATCTCGGCTCACTGCAACCTCTGCCTCCCAGGTTCAAGCAATTCTCCTGCCTCAGCCTCCCAAGTAGCTGGGATTACAGGCGTCCACCCCCACACCCAGCTAATTTTTATATTTTTAGTAGAAACGGGGTTTTGCTGTGTTGGCCAGGCTGGTCTCGAACTCCTGACCTCAAGTGATCCACCTGCCTCAGCATCCCAAACTGCTGGGATTACAGGGGTGAGCCACCACGCCTGGTCCAGACAATTTTTATCAGAAATATTCAATCTGTTCCTAGGCTTCTACATAACACTAACAGTTGAAGAGGTGAATTCACATACCTAAGTCATTCTAGACAAGAGCTTTACAATAAAGTAAATAGAATGAAGTATTTGTTTTTAAATTTAAATAAACTGTATTTATTTATTTAGAGACAAGGTCTCACTCTGTCACCCAGGCTGGAGTGCAGTGGTGCAATCTTGGCTCACTGCAACTTCTGCCTCCCTGGCTCAAGTGATCCTCCTATCCCGCCCTCCCAAATAGCTGGGACTACAGGCGTGTGCCACCATGCCTGGCTAAGTTTTGTATTTTTTTTGTAGAGACGGGGTTTTGTCATGTTGCCCAGGCTGGTCTGAACTCCTAGGCTCAAGTGATCCACCGACCTCGGCCTCCCAAAGTGCTGGGATAACAGGCATGCGTAACATGTACGACCTGCAAGAATCATACTAAAATACTGGAATTTGTATTCAATTGCATGTAAATGGACATTAAATAAATAATTTAATTGAAATCCATTGGTTAAACACAATTAAAAATTTGGCCAAGCA